AAATGAAACATCGACAATAAATTTGGTGTGCTTGGGAATGGTTAGGAGGGCACTCCCTTTTCTAGGCTGCCCTATCTATCTTTCTTGGTAAAATACATAGTAAAATCCCATTGGAGGAAAATTCCACTTAGGGTCAGGGTTAGGTCACCATGAGCTCATAGAGCAAAATGGACATCGCCAATAAATTTGGAGTGCTTGGGTATGGTTAGGAGGGAACTGACTTTTTTAGGCTGTCCTATCAATGGTAAAATACATGGGAAAATCCCATTGGACGAAAATTCCACTTACAGTAAGAGTTAGGTCACCATGAATTTGGAGAGCAAAATGGACATCACCAATAAATTCGGAGTGCTTGGGTATGGTTAGGAGGGCACTGACCTTTCTTGGTTTCCTGGTAAAATACATGGGAATATCCCATTGGGGGAAAATTCCACTTAGGGTTAGGGTTAGGTCACCATGAATTCATAGAAAGAAACAGATATCGCCAATAAACTCTGAGTGCTTGGATATGGTTAGGAGTGTGCTGACCTTTCTGTGCTGACCTATCTATTTCCTGATAAAATACATGGGAAAATCCAATTAGAGGAAAATTCAATTTACGGTTAGGGTTAGGTCACAATTAACTCATAGAGCAAAATGGACATTGCCAATAAATTCAGAGTGCTTGGGTATGGTTAGGAGGGTCCTGACCTTTCTAGGCTGCCCGATCTATATTTCCTGGTAAAATACAAGAAAATCTCATTGGAAGAAAATTCCACTTAGTATTAGGATTAGGTCACAATAAACTCATAGAGCAAAATGGACATCGCCAATAAATTTGGAGTGCTTCGGTATGGTTAGGAGGGTACTCCCTTTTCTAGGCTGCCCTATCTATGTTTCTTGGTAAAATACATGGGGAAATCCCACTGGATGAAAATTCCACTTAGGGTTAGGGTTAGGTCACACTGGAGAGCAAAATCGACATCGCCAATAAATTCAGAGTGCTCAGGTATGGTTAGGAGGGCACTGAATTATCTAGCCTGCCCTATCTATGTTTCCTGGAAAAATACATGGGAAAATACCATTGGAAGGAAATTCCACTTAGGGTTAGGTCAGCATGAACCCGGAGAGCAAAATGGACATTGCCAACAAACTCGGAGTTCTTGGGTATCGTTAGGAAGGCAATGACTTTTCTAGAATGTCCCATCTATGTTTCCTGGTAAAATACATGGGAAAATCCCAATGGATGAAAATTCCACTTAGGATTAGTGTTAGGCCACCATGAACTCGGAGAGAAAAATGGAGATCGCCAACAAATTTGGAGTGCTTGGTTTTGGTTAGGAGGGCAATGACTTTTCTAGGTTGACCTATCTATGTTTCCTACTAAAATACATAGGAAAATCCCATTGGAGGAAAATTCCACTTAGGGTTATGGCTAGGTCACCATGAACACATAGAGAAAAATGGACATCACTAACACACCCGGAGTTCTTGGGTGTGGTTAGCAGGACCCTGACTTTTCTAGGCTGCCCTATATATATTTCCTGGTAAAATACATGGGAAAATCCCATTGCAGGAAACTTCCACTTAGGGTTATGTTTAGGTCAGCGTCAACTCGAAAAGCAAAATGGACATTGCCAATAAATTTAGAGTGCTTGGGAATGGTTAGAAGGGCACTCCCTTTTCTAGACTGCCCCATCTATGTTTCCTGGTAAAATACATGAGAAAATCTCATTGGAGGAAAATTCCGCTTCGGGTTAGGGTTAAGTTACCATAAACCTGGAGAGCAAAATGGATATCGCCAACTATCTCGGAGTGCTTGGTTATGGTTAGTTGGGCAATGGCTTTTATACGTTGACCTATGTATGTTTCTTGCCAAAATACATGGGAATATCCCATTGGAGGAAAATTCCACTTAGGGTTAGGGTTAGATGACTATGAACCCAGAGAACAAAATGGACATCACCAACAAACTCGGAGTGCTTGGATATGTTTAGGAGGGCAATGACTTTTCTAGACTGCCCCATCTATGTTTCTTGGTAAACTGCATGAGAAAATCCCATTTGAGGAAAATTCCACTTAGGGTTAGAGTTAGGTCACCATGAACCCGGAGAGAAAAAATTGACATCGCCAACAATCTCGGAGTGCTTGGGTATGGTTAGGAGGGCAATGGCTTTTCTAGGTTGACATATTTCTGTTTCCTGCAAAAATAGATGGAAAAATCCCATTGGAGGAAAATTCCACTTAGGGTTAGGGGTAGGTCACCATGAATTCATAGAGCAAAATGGACATAACCAACAAACTCGGAGTGCTTCGGTATGGTTAGCAGGACCCTGACCTTTCGAGGCTGCCCTGTCTATATTTCTTGGTAAAATACATGGGAAAATCCCTTTGGAGGAAAATACCACATAGGGTTAGGGTTAGGTCACCATGAACTCGGAGAGCAAAATGGAGATCATCAACAAATTCTGAGTGTTTGGGTATGGTTAGGAGGGCACTCCCTTTTCTAGGCTGCTCTATCTATATTTTCTGGTAAAATACATGTGAAAATCCCATTGGAGGAAAATTCCACTTAAGGTTAGTGTTAGATGAGCATAAACAATTACTTTTTTAGACTGACCCATCTATGTTTCTTGGTAAACTGCATGGGAAAATCCCATTGGAGGAAAATTCCACTTAGGGTTAGGTCACCATGAACTCATAGAGAAAAATGGACATCCACAACAAACTTGGGTATGATTAGGAGAGTACTGACTTTTCTAGTCTGCTCTACTTATGCCGACTGGTAAAATACATGGGAAAATGCCATTAGAGGAAATTTCCCCTTAGGGTTAGGGTACCATAAATTCGGAGAACAATATGTACATTGCCAACAAATTCGGAGTGCTTGGGTATGGTTAGTAGGGAACTGGTTTTTGTAACCTTCCCTATCTACGTTTCCTGGTAAAATACATGGGAAAATCCCATTGGAGGAAAATTCCATTTAGGCTTAGGCCTTAGGGAAATATATACACACATAGACCATTTCTTTATTCTGTTGAAATGAAATGAAATGAAATGGTTTACAACAGGTTTACATACATTTAAAAATATATGAACTGATTGTTTATTCATAATTGAAGTGTTTCTTTTGTTATTCAGGCCGATGTTAGTGAGATGGCAATAGGAGCAGTCCTCCTCCAAAGGAATAAGGAAATCCAGTTACAACCGTTTGCCTACAGCTCCCAAAAGTTATCTGAAACTGAACAGAAGTGGGTGGCCTGGGAGAAGGAAGCCTATGCTGTGCAATGGGCTTTCCAAACTTGGAGACATTTCCTAGAGGGGAGTAAAATACCATTTCAAGTGTAGACTGATCATAAGAATCTCAAAGCCATGAAAACCCATAGGAAACTGTCCCCTAAGCAGGCAAGTTGGTCTCAGCATTTCTACCAATTCAACTTTACAATCCGTTACCTCCCTGGGGGGAAGAATTTTCTGGCAGATGCTGTCTAGAATGCCGCAATATAACAATGTAAAATCTGAAGTAGTTAAACCATTTCTGACCCCAAAGCAGTTAGCAGTGCCTTTCACTGCCAGAGCACAGACCAGGGCTACAGTGCCAATAGACAAGACAGTGGCCCAAGAATTCAAGAAAGCATAGGAAACTGACAAATGGTTTCAGACCCATAAGAACTTGTGTATAATAAAAGATGATCTGGCTTGGGTTGGAGAGAAAATATATGTTCTAGCAGCTCTGAGAGTGATGCAAGCTGGGCACACCTTGAAAATTGCTGGGCACTTTGGGTTCATAAAAACCCTACATCTACTAAAAAGACAATTCTTTTTTAAAAAAGGACATAGAAAGCTTTGTGGCTAGCTGCCCCACATGCACCGCGGTTAAGCAGTGGCAGGGAAAAACTCCTGGGCTACTTCAGCTGGTAGTGAGTCCTTCAGCACCCGGGAGAGAGATCTCTATGCATTTTATTGTGGAGCTTCCTGAAAGTGCTGGGAATACAGTTATTTGGATGGTTACGGATCTGTTCTCTAGACAGGCCCATTTGATCCCATGCCCGAAGATCCCAATGGCCCAATCCCTTTGTGCAACATATCTATCATTTTCACGGAGCCCCACTGCACATAATCTCAGACAGGGGGGTCCAGTTCACCTCCAAGTTCTGAAAAGCTTTTCTGGATCTTTTGGGTTCTAGTCAGGGGCTGTCATCTAGTTGTCATCCTCAAATGAATGGGGGGACAGAGAGATTGAACTCAGTTCTAGAACAGTACCTTAGATGCTTTATCAACTATCAACAAATAATTGGACTGATTTGTTGCCTTCTGTTGAGGTTGCTTATAATAATGCTGTGCATTCGAGTACTGGTTTCACCCCTTTCCAGGTTTCAAATGGTCTGACATTCGTTCCCATACCTGAATTACCTGCTAAGGAACCTGACATTCTCTCTTTACAAGAGTGGATTAGACAGCTGCAAATTACCTGGGCAGTAGTATGAAAAGCCTTAGATGAGGCCAGTGAAGCCTATAACACTCAGGCCAATCAAAGGAGGGTGGAGCAGAAACTTTTTAAAGCTGGAGCCAAGGTTTACCTCTCTACTAAATACTTGCAATCTCTACAGCCTTCTAAAATATTGGGCCTAAGTTTGTTGGACCCTTTCCTATTAAACATATCATCAACCCAGTGACTGTCAAACTAGCTTCCCTAAGAGCCTACAACAAATCCACCCTGTTTTCAACTGTAGCTTGCTCAAACCTAAGATTAAACCACCAGTACCTCCAGTGCCTACACCCATATTGTTCAAGGGTGAACAACACTTTGAAGTGTGAGACAACTTGGATTCAGGTAATCATGGTTCCACTCAATATTTGGTAGCTTGGAAGAATCTTCCATCCTCTCAAAATGAGTGGGTGTACAAAAAACATATCAGAGCTCCTAGGTTACTTAAATGTTTTCACTCTAAGTATCCTGATAAGCCTATTAATGTGATTGTTCTGTTTGTTTTCTTCCCATCTCCTTTTGTGTTCTGCAGGTGGATCTGCCATTTTTCTAGGGGGGGGGCTGCATGTCAGGTCCTCAATGAAATGTATTGTTCCCCTTCTAATAGTTTACCTGCTTTGGTAACCATTTTTTGTAACCTGCCATTCTGTTGGGAGGGGGGATACATTGGGATGCTTTGCATTGTCTTGCCACTGTGTCCTTCCCCCAGGAGAAAGAAGGCATCACCCATATCTGGGAAATGGTTTGCACTTGGAGCCAGAAGGAAATGAAATCGAGAGAGACCTTGAAGAGCATGCCAATGGAGCCAGTTACCAAAACAATATGCCACCTGTGGATTGGCTGGAATTCCAACAAGCACTGGGACCCTGGGGGGAAGAGTAATAATATTGCTTTTAATATACTGCTTGCGCAAATTTTCCCCCAGACTTCCCATTGAATCCCTGCTGTCACTAGCCCCTAATAAAAGTTCCTTTTGAGACAATGCCTGTTTCAAGAGTTCTGCTTTCTTGGGTGGTTTAGCTGAGGTAGGTCCTTACAAAGTGTCTGATTTGGATCCAGACTCAATCATCATAACCGTTTAGTCCCGTAGATTTTAGTAGTGCTTATGTTGGTATTATTCTGAGTTACAGGTAGTATTCAACTTACAGCCTATTGGTTAGTGGCTGTTCAAATTACAAAAGACATCCTTGGGGGTACTTACAACCCAGATTTGAAGTTCTGATGGCTGACTCCCCCCAGGATGTTCACTTAATAACTGCTGCAAAAAAGATCATAAAACTGGGTTGGTCACATGGGTGACCAGATTTATGACTACTGCGAGTTACGACCACAATAGGCAGGCTCCATTATGGTCGTAACTCAAGGACCTGTATATGCCTCTGTCTTGTAACTCTAGATTTTAAAACTATACAGCAGAATTTAAACTATTGTGGTCTTTTCTAGTTTTAATTTCTGGAGAAAATTAGGGGAGATTGTTACTGCCCTTATTTTCTGCCTGAACATCCCATAGTATCCAATTTATTGCTGTGGGAAAATGTCAGCTATCTGGATGGCTCTTTAGCCAAATCCAGTATGAAGAAATTTCCAGCCTTTTCGTTTAATAATCTACCCGCATGTCCTATCATGCTCACCAGAGGGCGCAAGATTCATTCCCATTGTAGGACTATAAATGAGAGCCAAAATAATTTACTTTCTTGTTAAAGTGCGGTAGAGGAAGCTTTTCAAGTAGGTTGGATACTTAGATCCTCTTTCTTTCTAATTATGTGGTTTATGTTGGTCTGTAAAGAGACCTGACTCTTTTCATTTGCTGTAGTTACTTAAGAAGCACTGGACCAGATTATTGGATCCATGGGCCAATTCTACCTGTTCTACCAGGTCTACCTGAAAGCTTGGGGAGACATTCAATCATTTTTTTCAGGACCTTGTTTGGCACGCCAAAATGTGTCCCCAATGCACTATTGAGGCATAAAGCTAACATCCCAAGTATTAAAGCTCAGGCCTGGACTAGGATCTCAATCTCAAGTCATAGCATCATATTCAATCTTACAGGCCTGAGGTCTTTGCTGCTGTCAATCACCAATCCCATTGGTATCACACCTGCATAGCAGAACGCTGCAGTCTTGGCTTCTCTCCTGAATATTTAGGCCAATTAATCCTAAAGAAGGCCAACTCAATACTAAATAATCCTATTAGTGGACTGAACCATTCCTTGATTTTTTTCTTTTTCTTTTTACATGTTGAAAAAAAATCATCATCATCATCATCATCCTTATTATTCATATTTGTTGCAAGTCTTAGTTCATTCTGAGCCTTAGCTTTCCTAACTTCATTTTTGCAGATTCGGGCTTTAGTCTGATATTCTGCCATAATTATGAGACCCTATTTCCATTTTTTATACTTATCCTTTTTGTCTTTTAATATAATAGACAATTATTTATGCAACCATGCTGGTTTGTTCTTGGATCTCTTATCTTTCTTTTTCAGTTGTACTGTGCTGGACTGGGCTTTTATAATATCATTGTTAGAGTTTTCTGTACATTTTCTATACAAGAATTGTATTCCGCACAAGAAAACATTTCCGTAAAAGTCAAAACATTATATTCAAAAGTAAAATTATAGCTGTCCTATAACATGTCATCAGTTCAAAATATATATGCCAAAATATATTTCAGCAGCTGTAACAAATGAAGAAGCAGCTGTGTGCCACCACATGGCTTTTTAGTATTCAGGTGTACAGAGGTGCATGAATGTTCGCTACAGATAGAACATTAGCCTTTCAAATATTTCATCTCTGTGCTTTCCATGGCCCCGTCTTTCAAGAGAGGAAGATATTTCCAAAGCTGCAACTGATTTAGACTATAGCTACCCATATCTTTGTTGCCGGAGAGATCACAACTATCCTGCAAGGACATGAACAGAACCTTTGCCATATAATGATGATGATGATGGTATCCGTTCAGTCGAGTCTGATTCTTGGTGATTCTATGAACCAGGTTTCTCCACATCTTCCAATCTTGCATTATTTCTTTGGGTTTTCCTATGCTTTGTCTGGTGTCAGCTTTGATAGTGTCCAGTCACTGTGTTCTTTGATGCCCTGGTTACCTTTTATCGCTATCTCTTCCAAACATAATTGCTTTCTTCAGTGAATTCCCCCTCACCCATGATATGGCCAAAGTAAGTGAGACAGTTTAATGATTTTGCTGTCATGATAAGTCTCACGTTATGTGCTCCAGTACCTGCTTGTTGGTCATCTTTGCTGTCCAAAGGTCAAACGAGTTGGTTTTCTTACTGCCTTGCTTTTTTAAGGTCCAACTTTCACAATCATATGTAGCTACGGGGAACACAGTAGAGTGAACTAACCTACGTTTGGTTGCCATATAACACTGATCTACAATTGTCACTCCATCCAAGGGGGAAGAAATAGTAGAACTTGGGTGAGGCTTGCTGCTCAAACAAGGGTCAGCAGCAAAGAGAGCAGCTTTAAACACCTCGCTTCCCAGGAATATCCAATGCCCTTCCTTGATATGTTAAGGTACCGTAAATGCCGGCGTATAAGGCGACTTCCGCGAGCGCTGAAATCGGCGCCAAAGACGGGGGTCGTCTTATATGCCGAGTCATCTTATATGCCGGAAATACAGTATTTCCGGCGTATAAGACGACATTCTAGGAATGCAGCCAGGCGATAAAGACGGGGATCGTCTTATATGACGGGTCGCCTTGTACGCCGGCATATACAGTAGATCTGAAAAATCATTTCTTGATAGGTTGCAGTAACCTGATTCCCTGTAAAGGGCTGAGGTCAGGTGTTTCTGATACACACATTTTCTATCACGCTAGCTCTCATCTCCATCCAGTCCATGAGCTCCAAAGGCCCTCCACTCAAAGCAGGTGTTTGTCTGGGTTTTCCCATTCCCATTCCTTCTTAACCTGTGCAAAATATCTGTCCTGAAATCCATAGTTAATAAAAAAAAAAGTATTGCACTGGGGGAATCTCTATTAGAGAGACGGTTTGGTCTAGTGATGAAGGAAACAGGCTAGAAACTGGGAGACCGCGAGTTCTAGTGAGGCCTGAGGCATGGAAGTTGGCTGGGTGACCTTGAGCCAGACAATCTCTCTCAGCCCATTCCACCTCACAGGGTTGTTGTTGTGGGGAAAATAGGAGAAGCAATATGTGTTGGATTTGGTTGCCGCCTTGAGTTATTTGTACAAATAATAAAGGCGGGATATAAATAAATACACGGATAAATGTCTGTACACGCAATTATTGTAGAATGGGTCCCACACATATTTTATCTCATTAAATTTCTATTGGGTAATCACCTCCAGTGGAAGAAATACAACACATAAAATCATAGCTTTTTTTTTTTTTAACACAGAATCTCAACTGTAGCTCTTGGTTTATAAACACACCAAACCGAATCCCATTAAACTATATTTTGATTTAGTTCAATTGGTGGACGTACCCTGTTCAACCATGATGATATATATTCTCAACCTGAAATATGGACAGTAGCCATATAAGAGTTTACAAGAAACTGAAAAAAAAATAAGGTCATGGGAAATCATTCTGAGAAATGCCTCATACAGTTGTGTCTCTCTGGAATATTCAACAAAGCTATTATTAAGGGCAGGCATTTATTTGATGAATAAATGTATTTTATGTTACCTTCTTTTGATTATACAAACTTCCTTGGGCAGCAGCTGTCACATTGTCCTGCTTTATGTATCTACTTAGCACAATGTGATTATAGTCAGTGAGCCTTGGTACAAAGCCACTGCAATGACTATTCCACAATATATATATTTTTTCCTAGATGAACAGATGGCCTTGCAGTCTAGGCAGACTGCAGAGAACTCGTTTATCTGCTAAAACCTGGCTTGCTACATGCTGAGCAAAAGTAAACATAGGAGGGACAGAAAGAGTGACCAGGTCAGCACATGCAGACAGCTTGCTCAACCTCCTCTTACTGTTAGAGAAAGAATCCAAAATCCTGCTCCAATGTTGATGCTAGAGTTTTATGGCCCATGCCTTAGATCAGTGGTTCTCAACCTGTGGGTTGGGACCCCATTTGGGGTCGAACGACCATTTCACGGGGGTCGCCAAACAATGCAGTCCGTCATTTTTTTCCCCCTTTTCCTTAGCTGGGCTACTCCCTTTTATGCTATTGGCTTTTGAAAGCCAATAGAATAGACTCTCTTGAATAGAGTCTAATTCTATTGGCTTTCAAAAGCCAATAGGAATTGTCCAGGCTGTCTTTGCCCTGCTGAGCCCGCCAAAAGTCCCATTCTGCAAAGGATACTGCACCAATTGAGTAGTCCTCGACTTACGACCGGTTGAGTAGTCCTCGACTTACGACCGGTTGGGGGGGGTCACGGCATTAAAAAGGTTGAGAACCACTGCCTTAGATCCAAAGATTTGAGACCTCACAAATCTCCAAAGCAGCCTCTAAATATTAAAGAAAGAAGCATTAAAAGGGAGCTGCAACAGCCCCCCTCCTTCTTGCTGCAGCCTCTAGGTAACTCCTGAAAAGTCTTTCAGGATTGTTGAGAATTCCTCTTTAATAGTGTAGAAGGGAACCTAAGAATATGTGTTCTTGTATTGAAGGATTATATCAATCAAGGCATACAAAAATGGCCATAATGTATACTCAATGAAAAAAATAATCATAGGAACACATTAAACCTATAATTTTGGGTTGCATATGGTCTTGGGACTATATGTAACAAGGGGTGGGAAAGCATTTCTTATCCTAATACTCAGCTACTTCTTTGAACATTCCTGGGAAGGCATGAGATACTATAACATATATAAATAGGTGATAGAGATAGATAGAAAGGTAGGTAAGATGGAAGGAAGGAAGGAAGGAAGGAAGGAAGGAAGGAAGGAAGGAAGGAAGGAAGGAAGGAAGGAAGGAAGGAAGGGTCCCAATAAAAGAGATAATTTAGATAGATAGAGCCCTAGCTTGACCAATGGAATATTTGAGGAGATTCAGTTCCTTTTAATCTCTGGATAAAAAGCATTTTAGCCTATTTCCTTCCAAATAGCTACTGTGCATCAGTCACATTCCAACCCAAGATTTTCCAGAGAGATTTTTTTCTGATTCCTGACATGGTACCTGCCTAGGGGAAAGGAGGAACTGGAGATTTTCCTTTTGAATATGGTCCTGAGGCTTTTTTTCAAACTAATATGTGGCCATCATTCATAATTTACATAGGGTTGGGGAGCACTTTTTCTCTTTAAATAATGGAGAATGGAAGAGATTGATGGATGGATTTTCAGAGACTTCACCACTGGAATTCACATTCAGGTCGAACCATTTGTGGTGAGGAGCAAACGCTCAGCCACATTCTTGGAAAAACATCCCCTCTTTTGACTGTTAAAGCAGGGAGTATTCCAGATTGTTCAAGACATGGCTCATATGAGAAAAACAAAGGAGCTAAATTTATCTTTGTACTTTAAATCAGGGATTGAGATGTTATGTTTAATTACATGCTCCCCTACAAATAATACCTTGCTAAGAGAGAAAGAAATTCATTCCTCCTTAGCACAATTTATTTGCTAATGCTGTGCCAAGAAGAACCATATAATACAAAACACAGAAGTTCTTCTTAATTATTCATTTGCATTTCCTGGAAAGAAAGAATCTTAGGCGCAATACATATTTGCATATTCCTTTGCAATGATAACAATAAATAGCCTACCTTACAAAATCACATTTATGTAGCTTGACACTGCAGGTGCCTTCCCCAGCAAATGGCCCTCCAGATGTGCTGGGGTAGGAGGGCAGCTCTCTTGGAAATTACAGCAATGGTTGGCCTCAGCCTACAAAATAGCAGGTTGGGGAAAATTGATCTATAGAATGTATAAGTTTCATAACACTTGCAATGATTTCCTGACAGACATGGAACAGAATAGAATTCATGGAGTTAGACTGTCAAGTGGTCCTCCTATTTATTTATTAATATTTATTAAACAAATTTATATAATTGCCCAAATCGTACATAGCTGATTCCCGAAGGTCATAATGTAAAAACCCCACCCTATAAACAAAGCCCATTAAACCACCACCCCCGTGGCAGCAGCAACATACAGGTAGTCCTCGACTTACGACCACAATTGAGCTGCTGAGTGAGAAATTTGTTAAGGGAGTTTTATCTCATTTTACAACTTTTCTTGCCAAGTTGTTAAGTGAATCACTGCAGTTGTTAAATTAGTTGTCAAGTGAATCTGGCTCCCCCATTCACTTTGCTTGTCAGAAGGTCGCAAAAGGTGATCGGATGACCCCGGGACATTGCAACCGTCATAAATATGAGTCAGTTGCCAAGCATCTGAATTTTGATCATGTGACCATGGGGATGCTGCAGCGGTCGTAAGCGTGAAAAATGTCATAAGTCAGTTTTTTTCAGTGCTGTTGTAACCTTGAATGGTCACTAAACAAACTGTTGTACGTCGAGGACTACCTGTAATCAAATCAACCGCTTGACTGGCTCCATCTCCATTTGTAGCCCACAGGCCTGGTGATGAAGCTACATTTTTAGAGCCTTTCAGAAAAGCAGCAGCAGGGTGGGAACAACTGTACTTTGGGAATGGGAATTAGGTTGCATAAAGAAGGAGCCACCACTGAGAAGGCCCTTTTTCATGATTCCACCAGATAATGATGTCTAATCCATAGGACCCATAATATGCCCTGCCTTCCCTATCACCTATTAATTCAATTTGAACCAGCTTGGTTAGTGGTTAAGCCACCAAGCTAGAAAACAAGAGACCGTGAGTTCGAGTCCCACCTTGCCCCTAAAAGCCAGTTAGGACCTTGGGCCAATCACCGTCTCTCAGCCCAACCTATCTCACAGGGTTGTTGTTGTGGGAAAAATAGGAGGAAGATGTGTTGAATATGTTCACCACCTTGAGATATTTGTAAAAATAATAATGGCGGGATTCAAATAAATACAAATAAGAATGGCGGATAAGCAACGGATGGAAACTAATCAAGGAGAGAAGCAACCTAGAACTAAGGAGAAACTTCCTGACAGTTAGAACAATTAACCAGTGGAACAACCTGCCTCCAGAAGTAGTGAATGTTCCAACACTGGAAGTTTTTAAGAAGAGACTGGAGAGCCATTTGTCCGAAATGGTATAGGGTTTCCTGCCTGAGCAGAGGGTTGGACTAGATGACCTCCAAGGTCCCTTCCAACTTTATTATTATTATTATTGTTATTATTATTATTATTATTATTATTATTATTATTATTTAAATTCAGGTAACCTGGATACTTGGAAATGGCCTCTCTGGACAGACAACTGGAAGAGCTATTGCAGATACTGATGTAGTTATGGTGGAGCCTTAGGGCTGAGGTGTTGGGTCGAGATGAACATCAGACAACTGCAGGAGATGAGGATTCCTGCCTGACTGTGATATGCAGGAGCAACTCTGCTGGTGACAGCAATTTCCATGTCTTTACTTTTAAGAACATTTTAGAGTGGGGGAAGGAGAGCTGGGTTAACACATACATAGTTATTGATGCTCAGTTCATATATATTGGTTTTTAAAATATATTTGTTAGTGCCAGGAAAATCAGGAGATTCAGCCAGTTCAAATGAATATAAATATTTTATTGCAAGCTTAAGCTCTCTACAAAAATCTGACCAACTACAGTAGCGATCAAGGGAAATAAGGATAAGGAAGGCATTTAAGGTGGGCTGAACTTAGATCTCTTGCGGGTCTGCAGGGACTCATGACTTATGATGCGTTTGACCCCTCCCTCGGGCTCAGCCTGTTCAACTTCTAGAATATTATCCATTTTTTGCAAGGAAAGGGTGCTTATTCCCAAGGAAGATATATCGTTGACCCAAGACAACTCATCAGGCCATTAAATCCACTTCCTCAAATTATCTGCTGCACTACTGTCTTTATTGGAAATTGGTTGGGTGGAAGAAGAAGCTGTCAGGCCTTAATTAATTATTTATCAACAAAACTTACAAGCAGACATCTGGACCATGAGGAAAGCAAAAGAAGGTGAACATTTACCTACGCCAACAGAACTTTCACCAAATTATGGGCAAGTTTTTACCTTTGGTTGATAAGACCTTATACTTACCATAGGCCCACATCTGGAACAGTTTTACAACTGAGTTGTACAAACCACGAAAGGGATGCAACAGAATACCGTATATGCCGGCGTATTAGGCGACCCGGTGTATAAGACGACCCCCGTCTTTATAGCTGGGCCGCATTCCTAGAACGTCGTCTTATACGCCGGAAACTACCAGTATTTCCGGCGTATAAGAAGACTCGGCGTATAAGACGACCCCCGTCTTTGGCGCCGATTTCAGCGCTCGCAGAAGTCGTCTTATACGCCGGCATTTACGGTAAGCACATAAAGAAAATAATGAGAGAGAGAGAGAGAGAGAGAGAGAGAGAGAGAGAGAGAGAGAGGGAGAGTTTGGCCTAGTATTTTAGGTAGCAAGCCAGAAATCAGGAGATGGTGAGTTCTAGTCCCACCTTGATCATGAAAGCCAGCTGGGTGACCTTGGACCACTCTTTGTCTCTCTTAGCCCAACCCACCTCACAAGGTTGCTGTTGTAGCAGAAGGAAGATGCATTGTGTATGTTAAATGAATGAATGAATAAATAAATAAATAAATTTGCTACAAAGTCCACAAGAAGCTAAATAAATAAATATGGACTGAAAAAAGTGACTTAAGACTCATTTTTCACATTTGATCACCTTTTGTGCAAGCAAAGTCAATGAGGAAACCAGATTCACTTAACAATGATGTTACTAATTTAACAACTGCAGTGAATCACTTAACAACTGTGGAAAAAAAGGTCGTAAAATGGGGCAAACTGACTTAACAAATTTCTCACTTAACAATATAAATTTTGGGCTCAACTGTGGCTGTAAGTTGAGGACTACCTATAACCTGAACCAGCTCCATTTTCGGTCTGGGAAGGAGTGAGTGACAGAATGGCCTTTTCTTCACCCTCCAGAAGTAGGCACTCAGCTCAGGATCCTGGTGCCATAAAAATGGATGGCTCCTGCTTGCTTCTTGGGCCTTGATCCTCATTTGCATCACCAGAGCAGCCAGTAGTCTCTCAATCCTCTAATGGTGGAAACCAATTCCTTCATTTTGCTTCAGGGCATCAGGGCATAGTTAAAGACATCTTGCCCAATGCTCTGCATTTGTTGCGATAGGAAGAGGTGGATGGTCATGGAGTTCTACTGGTGATGCCATTTCTTTTCCTAGCAATCCCCCTGTAGCATTCTTCTGCAACCCAGTACTGAGTCGATATGGTCGAGGAGTTTAAGAGATGTTGCAAATGGTCTCAAGCAAACTCTAATCTGATCTAAAAAACAGGTTGAGGAAGGCTCTTCTTAAAGATGGGGATGGGAAGAAAATTCTATTTTCCTAAAGCAACAACCAGAATCCCAAAGCTGTACAAATATACTTTTAATCCAACAGAAAACATCTTTTAAAGCTTAATAGGAGGTCAAAAGAATCTGAAAGTGCAGCAAGTTTCAGCAGGAGGAGGAGGAGGAGAGGGAGGGAGGGAGGGAGAGAGGGAGGGAGGGAGGGAGAAGGAAAACTACTGGTTTTGTATGTGCAAATTACTGTTGGCACAATTCAGACTTTGTTGGATGGAAGCCACTCATCAGACTTCTAATCTTGAATTTAAAGAGTACTGTAATACCAGCAACAGAAATCCATCCAGCTGGGCACTTTCCACCCAGCTAATAAGAAGTTCACCAGGATTTGCCTGAGTTCTGGGTGTGACTAGAATTCTAATTTTCTGTTCAGCTCAGTTTATGTGATAAAAAATATCCCTGGATGTCATTGGGATTGCATGTCTCCTTTTAACTGAAATTCCCAAGAAACTCCTTACTTCTAAACAGAACATAGGGAATCCAAGTCAGAAGTGAAGAATGGGTTCCATGGAATTTATTTGGAATACAAGTTTAATCTAAAGTTATGAAAGGAACAGGAGTTAATGATAGGCAGTTTGTGATATTAGGGAAGGTGGGTTATCTGGTGATCTCAGTGCTCTAGGCTAATTCAATTGACAGAATTGATGTGCTTAGTAATTGGCAGAACAAGGGCTGTGATGTCATAGGAAGCCAGCTCTACTCCAGGTCAATGCAAGGTCAAAGTTGACATAGGTGTTACACTCCGGGGGGGGAGGGTCTTCTTGAACTCATGGATTCTGCTTTAAACTCTGCACCAGTTGCACCTGTTCCTAGATCAAGATTTTGCTCACAATCACTCATGGCCTCTCATCTGGACTTCTGCAATGCACTCTATGTGGGTCAGCCCTTGAGGAACATTCGAAAGCTTCAGCTGGTGCAGAATGTGGCTGCAAAGGTAACGAAGGGTGTCAAGATATTCGAGACATGTAATCCCACTGCTTTAAGAGTGGGGATCGTAGATTCCAAAATCCCTTCTGATTTCCCCATCTACTTTACTCTTGTTCTTCATGACAATCCTGTCCTACTTGGTGCTCTGTAAATATCTTGGAAACAGCAGCGCCCAGGATCCCCAATGTGTGTACTGACTTGGGCTACCAGATCTGGGCAGTAGAACTGCCTGTAGTTTTGAAGGTCTAATCCAGAAGCCTTAATTGTTGTGATTCCTCACCAGCCAGTGGTTCCGGCAGCTGAGTCTGAGGAATCAGATGAGGAGGAGGGGGCTGGAGTGACATTAGAGTCAGAGGAAGGTCTGAGGAACTCCAAGACTTACAGTCAGACGAGAAGCCTGGCCCCTCTACTTGCACTCAGGCTGAGACACAGCTGTGCCGGGAGCCTGAGTTGGACAGCGATGAAGAACAGC